CCACAGCAGCTGTTGCTGCTTCCCCTGCTGTTGTTCCTGCTGCTGCTGCTGCAGCTGCTGCTCCCGGCCCAGCTGCTACCGAGGAGGGGCCGCAGGGAGTGAATCCAGCTGCAGCAGCAGCAGCAGCAGCAGCAGCAGCAGCAGACGCGTCTGCAGCAGCAAGTGCTGCTGCCGGTGCAGCTGATGCAGCAACAGCTGTGTCTAGAGCAGCAGCAGAGGATGCAGCTGGCAGCAGCAGCCGCCGTGTACACCGCAGCCGGCGGCGCAAGGGAGGCAGCAGCAAAGGACACAACAAGAGTGGTGCTGCTGCTGCTGCTGCTGCTGCAAGGCGTCGGTGTCTCTGCAGCAGCAGCATCCGTCTGCTGCCAGCCAGGCCCCCCCCCCTCTCGCTGCTGTGTGGAGAGGAGGCGCTGCTGCAGCCCCGCATGCACCAGAGGCAGCTGGACTATCCGCTGCTGCTGATGAAGCAGCAGCAAGAAGACATGCTTGACTGTGAGCTCCTGCTCCTGCTGCTGCTGCTGCTGCTGCTGCTGCTGCTGCTGCTGCTGTTGCTGCCTTCAAAGATCATAGCCTTTTTGCTGCTGGGCATCGTGCCGCTGCCGCTGCTCGTGCTGCTGCTGCAGCACTGCTGGTTGCTGCTGTGAAGCTGCGGCTCTGCTGCAAGCGGAATGCAATTTCAGCTGCTGCTGTGCTGCTGCTGCTGTGCTGCTGCTGCTGTTGCTGCTGCTGCTGCTGCTGCTGCAGTTGCGTTTGATGAGGCAAGCTTGCTGCCGCTGCAACTACCGGAAGTGAAGGTTCCTCCTTCTGCGAATGCGCTCGAGCAGGCTGCAACGGGTGGGCTCTCTGCTGCTGCTGCTGCTGCTGCTGCTGCTGCTGCTGCTGCTGTATGGCTTGCTGCTGCTGCTGCTGTCGTTGCAACTGCTGCTGTTTGTCCTCTTGCATCTGTTGCAGCTGCTGCTTCTGTTGCTGCTGCTGCTTTCGTTGCACTGGCTGCTGCTGCTGCTATTATACCTGCTGCTGCTGTTGCATTTGTTGCTGCTGCTGCTGTTGCATTTGTTGCTGCTGCTGTTGCTGCATTTGCTGCTGGTGCAGTTACTACATTTGCTGCTGCTGCTGCATTGTCTGCTGCTGCGCTTATCGTTGCTGCTGCGCTGGTTGATGCTTTTGTTTTTGCTGCTGCAGAGGCTGCTGCTGCACACCGGGATATCTTTCTCTGGTTCTCGAGGGGGAGCGAGCCCCTGAGGTTTCAGCTCAGCAGCCAGAGGTCCCCTGCTGCTGCTGCTGCTGCTGCTACTGCTGCTGCTGCTGCTGCTGCTGGGGAAAAGGCTGCAACAGCTGACGAAGGGGCGGCAGCAGCTGCTGCAGCCGATGCCGGCCAAGGTGCCGAAGACTCAGCTGCTGCTGCTGCCTCTGCTGCAGCAACTGCTGCTGCAACTGCTGCTGCAACTGCTGCTGCAACTGCTGCTGCACTTGCTGCTACTGCAGCAAGCGGCAGCAGCAATGGCAGCGGCT